TAATTAAAACTTAAAAAGTAGAAAACATAGAGGTTAGAAGATAGAAAGTTAAGGCATTTAGGATATTTGAATGTAAATAAAGACATGGGAATTGTTGACTCAATGTACTCCAAGAGGGGGGTGAATTGAATTTCCAAAAATTCTACTCTTTTGCAACCACAACACCAAAATTAAAGAGAGTAGAGAAGAAGAGCTTGCTCAATGATTTTATAGAGGTTCGGTCCAACCACTTGGAACCTAGTCCTCTACCTTGGCTTCACTCACCAAGGATTTCCTCCACACTCTCCACTAACAAAATTAAGGGTGGCTTAAAGCAGTCACTCAATCATTTTACAAGAAGAAGGGTGTTTTTTTCAAATCTCACCCCTTTACAACATAAACCCCAAGAATCCTTTCTATAAATCACTCTTGAAGGATTAATCACACCCCCAAGATCACTCATAAATAGAACAAGAAGAGGATTACAAGTAAAGATCTCTCAAATATCAAAAACTCAAGTTAAAACTCATGTAGGTAGGTAAAGATATTCAATGCAATGCTCTCTAAACTTGCTCCAGATCTTCTACCAACCATATTTATAACCCCATGGTTGAAAATAGCCGTTGGGGATCATTTAATGCTCTGCAGGACGCATGGCTTAAGTTATAGAACTGTCAATACAGCCGGCTTAAGCTTCTAGAGCCGGCTCTGCACAGCCGGCTTGCCATTCCTACAGCTGGCTTTGCGGGATCCTACACATTCTGTTTTCTTCGTACAGCTGGTTGCAAAACGCAAAACCAGCTTTGCGGGTTTGCTGCACATTCTGTTTTCTTTAATAGCCGGCTACAAAAACGTAAAGCCGGCTTTGGTATTCCGACTTTAAAAATATTAATTATTCTTTAAATAAGTCGACCGTTGTGCATTAAATGCACCCTTACAACCGGCTGCAAAGTTGGAGCCGACTTTGCGTTTTTTCTCTGCGCACCAAACAACAGTCTTCAAATTTTTGCCTGTAGAACCAGCTGCAACTTCTAGAGCCAGCTCTCTGCACTTCCACAGCCGGCTGCAATCTCTTTAAGCCAGCTTTTTGCACTTCCATTTCACAGAGTTGGCTGCAAATTTTAAGAGACGGCTCTTTGCACATTTTCAATCCTTTTGGTCTATTTTTAGTGCAATGCAAGTTTACTTACAATCTTTTAACAATTTAACTACACACTTAAATAAACTAATTAGTCACTCAAATGTGTTTTGTAATCATTAAAATCATAGGTACAACAGGAATGGATAAAAAGATCCAGGATTGGGAGATGAAGAGACATAGGTATGCATTTATATATATAATAATATATAATATATATTTATTATTTATTATATAAATTATTTATTATATAATACTTATATAATACAAATAATAAATTAAGACTAATTAATTTTTTAATTAAAAGATAATTTAATGAATAATATGTTAATCATTTATATTAAGAATATTGGTTCATGCTTTGGCGGTAGAGGAAAAGGCAAGACCATTTCCATCTTTTTTTTTTTAGCATGTTAATTAGTAATAATTAAAACTTAAAGAAGTAGAGAATATAGAGGTAAGAAGATCGAAAGTTTAGGCATTTAGGCATTTAAGATATTTAAATATAAAAGAAGACATGGGAATGGATAAAAAGATTCAGGATTGGGAGATGAAGAGACATAGGGTATGCATTTATATATATAATAATA